TGGATAAAGGAATAATTCAAGAAATTAGGTTCTACAGGGACAGTGCAAGCACAAATAGACTACCTTTTATCATTTATGGATTGGCTCTAGCTTGATAGTTTCTAGTAACAGCACAGGAATGTGAAGCTTAATTCTTTTACCCATCCCAACCACGGTGGCTCTACTTGCCTCTCATTTGAAGAGCACCAGGGAAGTTCCTTGGAGTGCACTCATATGCTATGGTGTATATAAATGCAACATCTTTCCTCCCTTTTTCAAAAAATCTGCTACCTAATGTTTCTCTTTTTAAAAGCCTTTAGAAATCATTATGATTTTTGAAAACTGTTTAACAAACATTTAATCAGAGTAATTATTCTTCAAAATCCACTTCCGACTAATAGCACACTTGCCTTTGACAGGAAACATTCAATCTTTCTTTTGCTTTGTTCTCTATTAATTCAGTTTACAAATAGTTGAATTTGGCATGGGCTTGTGTTCTGAAAGACTAATGCAGACTAATACACCATACTGCTTTGTATATCTACTTCAAAACGAATTTAATCAACACAGTAACATTCAATACACACAAAATTAAGCCAGAGGTTTAAAGACCAATGCCAGCTGTGAGCAGCAGGAAAGCAGATACCACAAATAGACTTCCTGCTAAATTATCCTGTTTCAGCTCGGATAGAGTTAATTTTCTTCCTAGTAGCTGGTTCAGTGCTGTTTTGGGTTTAGCCTGAGAACAGTGCTGATAACACACTGATGTTTTACTTGTTGCTAAGTAGCGCTTACCCCGATCAAGGACTTTTCAGTCTCTCATGCTCTGCCAGTGAGGAGGGAACAGAGCCAGGACAGTTGACCTGAACTAGCCAAAGGGATACTCCGTACCATAGAATGTCACACTCAGCATATAAACGGGAGAATTGGCTGGAAGCCACTCCATCACTGCTCAGGGACAGTGTGGTCACCAGTCAACAGGGGGCAGGCAATAGTATTGGGCATCACTTCTCTTTCTCAGGTTTTATTTCTCCCTCTTTTTGTCATCTCCCTTTTCATTACGATTATTACTATATTTTATTTCCATTATAAAATTGTTCTTAACCAACAGGTTTTAGCTTTCCCCCCTAGTTCTCCTCCCCATCCCACTGGAAGGTGGGGAATGTAAGCAAGCAGCTACATGGTACTTAGTTGCTGGCTGGGGTTAAACCATGACACTACCACAGACACCAGACTTTCTCAGGCATTTGGTACATAACCAGACAAGAACTTGATTGATTTAGATCTTCAGTAATGGGAGTTTAATTTGCAAATCTTATTTTAAGCTATTACAGCTAAGCCATATTTTTCTTTTCTGGATTTTATGTGCACATTTTTCTACATGTTACCTTGGAAGCCACTCCACATACAGGGTTTAGCTTGCCACTGGAAGAAACTGGCACTTTCAATGTAAAAGAAAACTGGTATGTTATAGAAGTGAGCAATAATCATGTTTATTTTTACCAACCTTCTTGAAATACATACTGAAAGCAAGTGATCTGCATGCTGACAGAAGGGAAGTCGCATTATGTAAGAAAAACTCTGGGAAAAGAAAAAACACTTTTTCTGTGTTTAAAGAAACCAAAACAAACGTTCCTAATCAAATGATTCCTGCAGACCTCAACATTTGCCTATTATAAAACTAATGCCAAAATGAAGAGGCAGGACAAAAGTACCTCCTCTACTTTTCCCAATAAAATGATGGTCATAGTTTTCTTCTTATACAGATTTAGCGAAATGAAGACACATGGGGGAAGGAAAATGTCCAAGTGGAAAAGTTTGTTGTTTGGGTGAGGGTTTGGGTTTGTTTTATTGTTTTGGTTTCCCCCCTCCCCCATTCAATAGTTTGTAATTACTTTTTAATGCCATTAAAGCACCCTCTCTCAAGAAAACCGAAAATAAATAGAAGTTAGGGAAGATTTGATGCCCATTCTGCAGTTTGAGATTTAATGTGTTCAGAAACACATGCACATAATACTTCACTACTCTCTTTTGGAGGTTTTCTTGGAAGTTCTAGTGAAAAAATTTACATTGCATCTTTGGTCTCTACAGTTCAAAGACTCCCTTAAAAGTAGCACCAATGAAAAACGAAAGAATGCAAGTGATGTGTTCCTCACCATACTAGCCCTTTTGGGGAAGCTAGCTTATCCCACATGGAGGTGGTAAACAGACTTTTAACTGTTGTCCAAGAAATGGACTACCTGCTGTAACTTGGAAAGAAGCAGCAAAGAGCTTCATCAACTCCACACAAGGACTTAGCCACCACTCTCACCCAGCTGGGACGAAACTCCAAAACAGCCCTGCTCTCAATAACACTGCTGTACACATGGGTGAGGGAAGACTAGTTGACTCAAGGAGATTAACCTCATACCTCTTCTGATGAGAAGTAACGACTCTTACCCCTGAAGTCATAATTTAATACTCTATATTTATGATGCATACAAAGACAGCAGAAGCTTTGTTACGACACTGGAGTTTCAAAGTCTTTCTAGTTCCCACACCCTGCAATGCTTGTTTCACCTGTTTCACCTCTTCCTCAATTGCAGGCCCCCTGTGTAGAAGCGTTTCTCTGCATAACACAGTTGTTTCACTATACATTCATTTAGTATAAGATTTACCTTGTTTTCTCCAGGTAATACCACAGTTTCAGAAAGGATGCACAGTCACATGTTTAGAATAGCACATTCTAAAAGATGTGGAAAGGCACAGAAGCTGACTACAACCATTCTTCCCCAACAATATGTAGTATTAATTCTATTTTGAGAAGATACAACAAAAAGTTATCATCAGGTTTGAGTCATTTTAGCTTGTATTAAAAACTTCAATGAACCTGATCATTTAGCTCTTCTGTTCAGTGTGAATGCTACCTTAACAGCAGCATTCTCTTTTCAACCTCATTTTACCATAAAACATTTCATAAGAAGCAATAGTTAAGTTACAAAATTTATTGAGTGTGTATTTACCCAATTAAAACACGATAAAACTTAAAAGAGAAAATACAGTTTTCTAGGGGAACAACCTTCCAGTTATATATAGATTAGATAGAATCCAACTTCAGAAGCTATCCAGACTCAAGCTCTCCTAAGCGGGGAACTACTGCAATGGTAGTACCATGAAGTTTGAGTATTTTACTATTAAAAATAGTAGATGTTTACACACACAGTATCTTGCTCCATATTTAACTGTTGCCACCCCACAACCCTTGAATTTACTGAGACTGTTCAACAGCTGACACAGAAGCATGGTGAACAGAAACATAATACTTCCAAGTCAACTTGAGCCTCATCAGTTCTTAAACGATGAGGCTCTTAAACGAAGTTTTCCAGTAAAGGAAAAGGGTCTGAAGCCAGTTTATCTTGCACTAAAAAAAACCAGTAGTACAGTAGCTCATATGTTCCCAAATCCTTCTAGCTAAAATTTGTTAGGAAAACAGAGTTTTAAAAATATTAAAAAAGGTAATTTTATTTTATCATGTTACATTTCAAGCAAATCTTTGACGATTTGACTTGGTAGGTCCGACCACCTACAAAATCTATCTATATTTCACTTTATATTTAAGTTTCAAAGAAAAACTATGAAGCAACCTTTTTATTCCCCTCAGTTGTCGAAATCCCACACACAAAGCCACACTACACTATTTTCTCACTGTTGTGGAATATTCCTTACATTCAAGATCAGAAATGCACTTCAGTCCTGATCTGCAAAATCTTCCCTGGCTCTATCTTCATTTTCTTAAAAAGAGAATGTCATCACATTCAACCTTAAGAACTGGGCTGTTCACCAGAGACTAGGATAAGGTCAAATTCATTTCCAGTTGTCATCAGAACCAGGATATGAATTAAGCCTCCAAAAACGTATTAGTTGAGTAATACAAACAGCCCTCTTAAAGGTTTCTCTTCCCCTCCTCCTCCCCCTCACCCCAAGCATGGATTCATAAAAAGAGAAGCCTCCACAGGCACAACAGGTTGGATATAATGAAGCACTGTTTCTGTAGTCCTCTAGGTACCAACTTGAAAGGATGCTTTGCTAGTAGCAATGATTGGAGAACACTTCTCCAGAGACCAAAGAAAAAGTAATTCAATTTCAGCTGGTGAAAACTAGTATCTAGGAATGGCTGTTTTACAGACTTTCTTTTTAGCTTCATATTACAGAAATGAATCAAGACTATATTAATTCAAGAGAAGTCTTATTACTAAAAACCAAAGAACTTCCTTGTGTTACTCACAATGAACTCCCCAAGCTTTCTGATTAACACAAAAAGCAAACAGATAGCAAGCTATTTTAATGTTTGTTGTATTTTTCCTTACTGCTCCATAAACAATTGAAAAGAGGAAAAAATTAAGGTATCTTATAAAGAGTTTAGGAATACAGAACTCCAGATCAAAAAAAAAGATAGAAAGTATTATCCAAGAAATGCTTCATTTGTAAAGTGATGCCGTGTTTCAGGTTAAGCCTGTACAACCTTTTATCTTCCGTATTATCATTATCCACCTTAGAAAGGGTTGCCTTCTGTTTTAGGAGAGAGGCAAAAGATGAAACTCACCTAGAGTGCAGAAAAGCAGACAAAGATTTATCCCACCTCATTCCACTGAGGCAAAAGAATAGATGATATTCTAGAAAAAAAGAAATTCCATATCCACACACCTTTCCCTAATGTAAAGGGAAAAACAGAGTACTGCTGTAGGACCCAAAAGCCACACCACTACATTATCTATGAGGCAGGCCAGATTAAATATGCACTGCATGTTTAATTCACAGTAACAGTCTTCAGCTAAACAGGTCAGATTTTGAGCAAGACCTAAACAGTGAGATTACTCCAAATACAGCATGAGGAGGCGTGGCATCATGTATTCACTCTACAGTAAATCACAGGGAAAATGTTTGGTCATTACCTCAAACGTTCCTGTTTGGTTTAGGGTTTTTTTCCCCTCCAGGAACCCAAATGAAATCTATTCCCTACTTCTGCACTATTTCGTACTTACTGCTGGTAGTAGAGACTGCATGTTCTGGTTGGAGTCAGCTATAGTGGCTAGGTAAACCAAGTTTGTATGCAGCATCTGCTGGTATCTATCAAAATAAACAACAGCAAATCAGATCTTAAGTAATAAACTCAGTAACATCAGAATTCACTTTAATTCCATACATATAAATAAAGTTACCTATATAAAACAAGATTCATGAGACTTGTAAGAGTACCATTATTAGGAATCTAAAGCCTTTTCCCTCACATTTACCTATTACCCAGTCTTTCCCCAATGTCTCCACCAAATCTGTGCTTTTCTCTCTACAGTTTCTGTTTTCTTATGACAAATCTAAAACTGGGTGACACCGTTCTTACCTATTTCACTTCCTGCCCCAAAATAAGTCACCAAGAGACATACAGAGCGTGTCTGCGGCTGTTTGGTGTCATTTCCATTGCAAACGCTAGGGAAAAGGAGCTATTATGCCCCCAGACACACTGCATCTAGATCCATGTGAATTGCAAGCAAGACCAGTGCAAGCATTTCATCAGAAGGACCCTGACATTTGGAAGCTTGCTATGGAACCAATGATTTTTCTGCTTCAGAACCACATTCTGGAGTCTCAACATCCAGTCCCAAATCACAAAAATAACCTTAAAAGCAGGAACAGACTACGAATACATTACTACAGGCTTGCAAACAGCTTAATGCAGTAATGGTGCTACAGTAAAAGCACCCATTTAAAGCAAAAATACCTACTATTTATGACCCCCTCCTACTTCAAAATTACCAGTTCTCTTAGTAATGGACACAAGGAATATTGTGATGCTGTCACATTTGTGATTTTGTATTTGTCAAATTACATGATCATTCCATGCCAGAAAAAAAATGGGAAAATAATATTCCTTAGTAATTCACTCCTTCCACAGTTCTCTCGAATCACTCTCCAGAGACCACACTAGAGAGCAAAACTACATGAGATATTCTGGCAAGCCAAACTCTAAGATAAGCTGGTTTGTTCTTGGGCAAGTGACAAGCAGGTGGTTTTCAAACATGCTGTCAGGAAAAAGGTCCATCCCTACAGGATTTCGCAATGTTTGAAAAGAAAACTACCTCTTTTCCAAAGTGCAATTATGATGCAGAGGAAAGAGATCTTGGTTATACAGTCCCCATTTTTATAAGCATCATTATGACAAATTTGCCGTAGGCAAGCTGCAACAATGAAAAGCGACAGAAGTCATAGTCATACGACAAACAAAAATACCCCTAAATTTTAAGTGTAGTATCTGTAGCAATAATTTTCGGCTCTTCACGGTACAGTTCCTCTACAAGGTGAAATAAACAAAATTAAGAATGGTGATCTAGATGGAAATTCACCCAGTCCACAGTGTATTTGGATTGATGTCTTACTGAGAGCATTCAGATGTCTTTCCTTTGTTCTGATAGTCCATTATACACTGAATAAGATGGTTATTTTCATCCAACATCTGAAACAATAAAGAAAAAGTTTGGTGTAAGTTTCATGTTCTTTGTGGAAAGGAACTGAAGTTAAGTTTGAGTCTTGCTCCTCAGAGTTCTTAAAAATAACAAAAATTGATTATTCCAAAAAGTTCTACTTAACCAATTAGAGAACACTCTTTTGCTCCCATTTCCCCCCTCCAGTTAGTTTTACAGATTTCAGTTTAAGGGTTTCTTATCACTATTAGAGCTACATTCGTGAAGCTTCCCCTCTGAATACCAACTTGTTCTGCACCAAGTTCTTGGGGAGTTTTCCAAGTTTTGCATATCTTTGATATCTACAAAAAAATTACTTAAAAATTTATTCCCCAAATTTCCCGTCTTCTAAAGTCTGCAAATGTTCATAAATTTAATACTAAAAGACACTGAAATTGTTATTGATAGAAACTGAGCTTACCAGACCTTATATCTTCCTTACATCTAACCTGAACTTCCCTGTTAAAGTTTGAACCCCTTGTCCTACCACTGCAGTCCCTAACGAAGAGTCCCTCCCCAACATCCTTATAGGCCTCCTTCAGATGTTGGAAGGCTGCTATGAGGTCTCCACGCAGCCTTCTCTTCTCCAGGCTGAACAGCCCCAACTTTCCCAGCCTGTCTTCATACGGGAGGTGCTCCAGCCCCCTGATCATCCTCATGGTCCTCCCCTGGACTTGGTCCAACAGCTTCATATCCTTTTTATGTTGAGGACACCAGAACTGTACACAATACTCCAAGTGAGGTCTCACGAGAGCAGAGTAGAGGGGCAGGATCACCTCCTTTGACCTGCTGGTCACGCTTCTTTTGATACAGCCCGGGATACGGTTGGCTTTCTGGGCTGCAAGCACACATTGAAGCTGGCTCATGTTCAGTTTCTCATCCACCAACACGCCCAAGTCCTTCTCCACAGGGCTGCTCTGAATCCCTTCTCCACCCAACCTGTAGCTGTGCCTGGAATTGCCCCAACCCCTTCCAACCCAAACCACTCTATGACATGGAAAAAGTTTGTATTGATTTATCCCTTTTCTTCCTCAAAGTGGAAAGCCACTCTACCCAGCTGTTGAATTTCACAAAACTAGCAGGAACCATTCCAAGATACTTTCCTTCTTCCCCACATGGTTGAGACTTGCCAAAAGGCTCATGCTTCTACAAGGAAAGTACAAATAGTGTCATTACATCACCTTTATTTCTCCACAAATCCAACCTAAACAAATTCTATACAGAAAAAAAAACCAAACCAAACAAACAAAAAAAAAAAACAAAACAAAAAACCCACCCCAGTGATACTTTCTTATTCTTCTTCTGACTAATCCATCTCTATTAGGAAAAGGGTATGGAGTCAGAAACCTTATGCAGTCAGTCTGCTCAGGACTTCTATCCATGTAAGAATGAGCCAACCAGTCAAGTCTTCCTAAAGTCAAACCAGTAATTCATCAGAACTGACTAGAACAATCCCTGAGCAATTATTTTGCCCAAAACTGTTGGATCTGGAAACATTGTCATTACACACTAAACACAGAAAGAACTACAGTATTTTGAGTTACTGTCTGAGCCTCAGAAACTAGGCAGAACAGGAGTTGCATACTCTAGAGGATCACAAACATACTGCTATACAGACGCATTTCACATGCACCAACGTCAAGTTTCATAAGAAACACAACAGCTGTTTTCACCAGAAAAAAAATAAGGAAAAAGGGGCTAACACCTCTGATACCGAAGTCTAGCATAGCACTTACAAAGGAAACCTTGAATCAAGGCTCTCCTTAGAATGTCTCTCACCCTACAGAGGAAGGCAGTAGATACTTAAGGCTTAGCAGACAGGCAGACTTTGAGAAGGCCAGTTAAGCTGGTTGCATTCTTCACTGGAGCTATGTAAGTGGGACTTCTTGGGGGAGGGGGAAGAGGAAAGGAATGTCTGGGCCAAGAGGAAAGCAAACAAGAAGAAATACGACTATATCCTAGACACGGCTGCAGGCACTGTTTTATAAAAGTTTGATTAAGCAGTTGCGGACAGAAAATTGAAGTAGTTCTTTGAAAGAGTTATAAACACCTACCACCAGAAGAGAATTTAGTTTCCAGCTGGATGAAGACACCTCCAGGGCTTATGACAGCTTATGTACATTACAAAGATTCTTCAGCTTTAACTATCCTAGGGTTTTGCCAGCACACCACCATCAAATTAATGGTTTGACTAAAGCACACAAAAAACTTAATTGTCTGCATTCTCCATATGCACCCCAGTGACCTCAAGTCTCTACCAACTACCCTCGGGCAGCTTTATACCCAGTGGGTATGTATTTTTCATATACACTGCTCAAGTACTGACTTCTACTACAGTACCCTGGAGGTCTCTTATAACTCTGGGGTCTTCTTTGAGATCCCAATCCCTGCAACACCCACCCTGCAGACACTCTCATTCTTTGCTAGATCAGAGGTTAGCTACATGTATCCAAAAAGGCTCTTACACAAGGAACTTGCAGTCATCTGACATCTGTTTGATTCATGGCTATTTACACTAGTAACAGTTCAAGTCCTGAACTAAGTTTCCAAATACCACCCAGTTACTAGTGAGTCTGAACAGCCTCCTTTGCTTCTGCCAATACAAAGCAACGTGGATTAATACAAATCCTGTACATGCTTTTCTTCGATTCTTTAGCAAGTCAACTTTCTCCCTCCTACAACAGCTTAAATGGAGTCGTCCGGAGCCGCTGTCAT